GTTCCTAGCTTAAACTTTCCCAGGAAATGACATTTTTCTTGAGGACTTTATTAATTTATACTTTTCCTCTTTGATGACATGACATCTGTTTCACCTCTTTCTTGGAAGTAGTAACATTACTTTTTATCATGTGGAATTTGGTCTTATGAACTTCATTGTCAAGGTTATAGCTCTGTTCTTGAGGGTTGGCTAAAGATCACTGAAGGGATGTAAGTGAAAGAACAGAATACTCAAGTTGGGAAAGAGAAGAGTCTCTTTGTGCTTCTGCCCCTGTGATCTACTTGTAGCTTTGATCTATTACGAGGTTGCCATGTAGAAGAATTTCTACACAACATTCAGTCTATTCCCAAAGCTCAATTCAGACCCCTGGAGCAGGCCATAGGCAAGCCTGCTTCTACTCCATCAGTAGATCTTTCTAGAAATGTGATGAACACGGAATAAATTCCTAATCCTTGGAGGTTTCAAGTGGACAGATTTTTGTTAAGATCAGTGTGGAAGGGATTTATAGACGAGGATGAACCTGATGGTATCTCTGAAATTCCTCTTGGATCCTTGGTAGCTCAAGGACCTCTGGTAACCCTAATAGAAAGGTGGGAGATGTGGGTCCCCATACAAAAGATCCACTGTGTTGGCTGCTCGTTGACAGAACATTCTCTTAGAACAGCAAGGTAGTTATCACTCAGATACAAACTGTGGTTTTGTAAATGAGATGATGAGGAGATGTTCTACATTTGCATTCTCTGAAGGTCATGTGGCTTAGGGGAACAGCCTGAGTGTCCATCTGGGATCATCAGGCTGGACAATCTGGCAGGGGCTTTAAAAATTAAATGTAGGGGCTGGGAAGGTGGCTCAGTGGTAGAGTGCTTGCCTTGCATGCATGAGGCCCTGGCTTTGATTCCTCAGCACCATATAAGCAGAAAAAGCTGGAAGTAGTGCTGTGGCTCAAGTGGTAGAGTGCTAGCCTTGAGGTGAAGAGCCGAGGGACAGCGTCCAGGCCTAGAGTTTAAAAAAAAGAAAAGAAAAGAAAAAAAATTAAATGCAGCTGGGCACTCCTGGCTCACTCCTGTAATCCTAGCTACTTAGGAAGCTCCGATCTGAGGACTGAGGTTCAAAGCCAGCTAGGGCAAGAAAGTCTGTAAGACTCATCTCCAACTGACTACTAAAAATCCAGAAGTGGTGGCTTCAGTGGTAGAGCACTAGCCTGGCGCACAAATGCACAGGGACAGTGCCCAAACCCTGAGTTTGTTCAAGCCCTAAGAACAAAACACATGCACACGAGTGCTTGCAGGCATGCACACACAAACACACACAAATTAAATGTAACATAGGTATGACTACAGAAAAAAAAAGTTGATTTTCTTGGCATGCCTTTTGCTCAGTATGAAATATGAACACTTTGAAAAATGTATGGAACCACGAAAGCATTGGGGGAAACTGAGCTCAAGGGCTGCCTATTTCAGGAGTGATTTTTCAAAGATCATTCTCCCGCTTTGGCAGCCCTGTGCCCGCATCTAGAATGAGAGTTTTCATTTTATTTCTTATGATATAGCATTTCTAAGGCTCCTGGAAACTCTGATCCAGCCCTCTTCTCCTGGGAACCTGCATTTCTTCAGAGTTTTATGCTGCTCACTGGGCCTACGAGTTTGCTAGGAGAATTTATCTACCCTGCCTTTGCTTCTCCACTCCTGTATGGACTCATTTATCTGCTGGTGTAGCCACAGAGCCTTACCTGCACCGTGTGTGTCCACAGCTGGACAGCTGCTGGAGCCAGCTGTGTCTAGACACTTGGGGGGTGGCTGATGGCATTGTGTGATTGGAACAGGGAAGATGCCATCTGCAGTCCTTTCTCTGGGGGACAGAGATAACACTGCCCTTCACGAGAGACCTGGCATCATCAAGAGAGATGATGGGAGGTAGGAAAAAGGAGAGAGAGTGGAGAGGGAGAGAGACAGAGAGAGTGAGCATGCACTAGTACAACACACCAAGTTTATATAACGAGTGACACTTGAGCCTTCCCTCCACTGCAGAACTTGCGTAAGTGGAAAAAGATCATTAGGGCAAATGACAGGGCATAAAAGGGACCAGGGAGAGACATGGCAGTTGAAGATGAGCACAGGAGATGCCATCACAGCTTTGACTCAAGTCAGTCCTGAAAGTTCTTATTGACCTAGGGAGAAATCGGGAAATCAGGCAGTCTTACTATGGAACACGCAGGATAATTCTCCTTTACTTATTAAAAGTCCCCGGATTTGGACAAGAAAGAGTGTGTATGGGGGCGTCTACTTGTCTTCAGTCTGCATGCCTGGGGCATAGAAAGTTGTCACCTCCCCTTCAAATAGTTTCCCTCCTCTGAAGAATCAGCCCTCTATGGGCTTATTCTTCTCCCATTCTGTCAGCGCTCTGGGCGTTGATGGGTGTAGCTCAGGCCATCCACCCCTTCCAATTTTCTGACCGTAGTGATTGGTTCAGTGTTGGAAGTGTTGAACAATGATGTTCAGGAGACACTTTTGCTGGTAGGATTGGGATCAAGACACCAGGCTGTCTTTCCAGATGTGAACCTAAGAGGACATAAAGCTGGAATGCTGTGCAGCCACCTTCAAACTCACGGGGTGCCTGAGGCGAGTCGATACAAGGCCAGACAGATCAGAGAGGGGTGGAAAGAACCCAGCGCTGATGGCACTGTTTTCACTCTGAGTGTGCAAGGGCCCGGAGCCTGGTCTTCCCCATGACTTTTCATTTCCCCTCCCATCCCCCACCCCCACCCCGGCTCTATGTTTAGGTTGAAGCATCTGTTGCTTGCCACCAAGAAACTCTGCATCTGTTTCCTAAAGCAGATGAGGATGAAGTGACTGTGTGTAGCAGTTTTCTACACAGAAGAGTTTTGAATTCTTCTGAGTTCAAAGAGTTGTCTGAGGAAGACACAGGCTACCTCAAGGATGGCATAAATACATTCACACGTCAAATGGGAGGGGTGTGGATTGGGCAGCTCTTTAAATGTATGTGAATCAAAGTTACCTTTTTCTTTCTTCTTGGTCACTGCTGAGGTTTGAACTCAGGGCCCCGTGACTGAATGGCTTGCTTACTTAGCTGGCTCTCCAGCACTTGAGCTGTGCCTGGAAGCTCTGTCTCCCCCCCCCCCCCCCCACTGGTTAATTTAAGAGTCTTATGGGTTTTTTTTTTGCCAATAGTGGCTGTGAACCATGATCCTCCAGATCTCAGCCTCCCAAGTAGCTCATGCTACTCCATTCAACTCAACCTCTCCTCTTACTGGCTACATCAGTGAAGGTAGAGGCTCTTCAAAGTCTCCTTCCAAGCATCTTTAACACAAATGTGGAGTGGCAAACACGATGTGGCACAATGATTCTGATTTGATGATCCTGATAATGATCCCTAGGCCCCCACAACCACCCAGACCCTGGCCTACCTTTCTGTATGATTTATTCACTGATTTCCATCTTCTTCAGGGAAGACTTCCAAACTCTACCATCTGGCATGCAGCCTTGCATAGACAGTGCTCAGCTGGCACATACAGGTAGGTGATGATGTCTCAGATCAGGGGCTCTTGTTGGCTCTAATTCTCCTCCTGAAACTTGGCTCCCTGGCAACTTCAGGTATAGGCAGAACCCTGCCTTCTCCCTTTGAGTCTTTCCTATCCACCTGCACCTGACATCTCATACCTGATGAACGGTGTAGCCACTGGATTATGTGTTGACTCTGTAGTATTCACCAGCCACCCAAAGCAGGCCAGGCACCAGGCACACAGAGATGAGCAGAACAGACACAGTTTTCCTGCCCCTAGGCCCTTCCACACAGGGCCTGGGTTATTCTTCTCCTCCATACTCTCCTGAAGTGTCTTGCCTTGGTAGCTAGAAACTGGGCCGAGGCCCCCAGCTGATGCCAAAGCCGCCCCAAGGTCACCTTGGTCCTCCTTTGTCCCAGGCAGGATTCAGCTCCTCAATCCTAGCACCCAGTTAGGACAGGTCCCCTGCCTACCAAGTCCTGGCCAGGTCTCTTCTGAAGTCCAGAAGAATCAGAGGCTTCCAGTTCACAAGGGAATGGCTAGGGATATTGTTTCACACGTCAAACACCCATTTGGTTTAAAGTAGTAAAGCCTGGCTCAAATGCTAAGAGGAGGATGAACAACACCCGACCTTCCTTAGTGGGAAAGCGAGAGCCAAGACCCAGCTGGGCTGGGCGCAGGTGGCCGCCTCCAGACCCAGCGGGCGGTCCTCTACCTGCAGCCAGGGCGCTCTGTTGGGGACCAGGACCCAGATGCCTGGCCATGGGGGGGAGACGAGGGGGGACTGGGGGCCCAAGGGCCGCCTGGCGCTGGAGGCACTGGGGGAAGGGGGCGCCTCAGGTGACCTCGTGGGAGCATGGGGGCCGGGGGGAGTGGGACCCGGGGACAGAAAGCAGGAAGGAAGGGGCCCTCCCTCCCTGGCAGGGGCGGAGGGTGCCGGGCGCTCTCACACCCGCGCCCACGTGCGTGCGTGTGTGTGTGTGTGTGTGTGTGTGTGTAAGTGTGTGTGCGCCAGGGACTGGAGATCGGAGATGGAGCGTCAAGGCAGGATCGGGATCCAGGGCGGAGGCTGGCAGAGCCCGGGCCGGCGCGTGGCGGGGGCGCTCAGGCCCCGGGGGCCGCTCAGCGGCGAGGGGCGGAGCGTGCAGGGGGCGGGGCGGGCGGGCGGCCGCGGCGGGGCTTCCCCGGGCTTCCCGCTCCCCCCCACCCCGCCCCGCCCGCCCGGCGCGGGCTCGGGGCGCGGAGGGAGGCGGCGCCCGGCGCGAGGAAGCCGGGAGTCCCCGCGGCGGCCGGTGCTCCGCGCGCGCACGCGGAGCTCCAAGCGCCGGGAGCCGCGGGTGCGGCGTCCGGGAACCCCCGCGCCCGTGGCGGGAGGTTCGGGCTGAGCCCCCCGCCGCCCGCCCGGCTCCCCCCCGCCCCGCGCCGCCCGCCCGCGCCCGCGCCCGCGCCCGCGGCCCGGAGCGCGCCGCCCCCGCCGCCCAGGGTCTGGCGCGCCTCGCGGGCTGAACTGCCGGAGCCGCGGACAGCACCGGCTGCGGCGGCGGGAGCTGCCCGGGCTGCACCATGCGCGAGCTGGCCATCGAGATCGGGGTGCGAGCCCTGCTCTTCGGGGTCTTCGTGTAAGTACGGGCGCTGCGAGCGGGGCGCGCCGACGCGGGGACTCGCCTGCCCTCTCCGCGCCCCAACTTTGTTTGCGCGGACGCGAATGCCTGGGGCCTGTGTGGAGAGCCCCTTCCAGCCCGGGGCCCCCGAATGTGGCTTCCGGGATGCAAAAGACCCCCGTGTCCCCTTCCCGGGACCCTGGGGCGCCGGCACCGGCCTGTCTGTCCCCACCGCGCCCCGGGGCGGCTCCGGCTCCGCCGGGTCCCCTGGCCGGAGCCCCTCTCCAGCCCCCAACCACCTGTCCCGGGGTCCCGCCGCTCCCCGGGACCGAGACGCACACCCTCGGAAGTTTCTCCCTCTCGGTGGCGTGATCTTTCCGGTTGACGCCAGCTGGCTCCGCTCCCCTGGCCCCGCGTCCCCTGCCCGGGGCGGATCGATCGAGTCTCCGCGCAGGGCCCCGGGCTCCGGGGTGTCCCCGGGGGTGTTTGCTCTGGGGTTCGGGGCCCCAGCGCTGGGGGTGTGGGCTGGGAGCGCTGGGGTTGGAGTTTCTGGTGTATGGTGCCGGCAGAGGCCCTTGGTGGGCAGGGGCGAAGTGCCCAGGGGGCTCCGAGCAGCTGGCATCTGGGGACAATTGGGGGGGGCGGCGGAGAGGACCCAGCTCCTTCCCAGCGCCTTCTTAGCGCCCGGCCACCCTGCTGATCACGGGGTTCTTAGGGAGACCCCTGGGGATTTTCCCCATCGACCCGGCCCCACATTCTGCACTCCTCTCCCCCACTTCTACCTTTGGCTGTGGTTGGACACATTTTCAACATTTAAAGTTACGTGAACTTTCAGGATTTGCCGAGGTTTCTGGAAAATACCCACACGGAGATAAACAGCCAGCCACATGCTCGGCATTTCTGCCCTAACCTCATTCGTCTGTGGCAGGTGTACCTTGTCAGAGACGACTTCAGTTCCCGCAGCCAACGCGTCAGGGGAGTCCTTTCTGCAAGTGTCTCTTTCCTAAGCCATCCAGAGCGCTTATTCCCACCCTCAGAAAAGGCGGCGAGCCCTCCCACCCCCTAAGAAGCAGGCAAGCCCCTCCTCCTGCTGACAGACTAAACACTAGTGCCATTCACTGGGCAGCAGGACGGAGAACTTAAACGGGTCTTGGTGAATTTGGAGAAACAAAGGCACTTCTCCCTTCTCAGACTCGATCTTTCTACCTTGTGGAACCAACATTAGATCTGGTGATGGCTATGTGCTCAGGCGAGGACAGTGTCTACTTGGCAAGCAACTTAAACCCTGTCCAATTATGATGTGATAGAAATGATAGCATAGTGGACGGTGGAATCCAACATCTGGTGGGTGGATGTTTGCATGAAAAATGCAGAAATAAAATGGGATAGGCTCTTACTTACCTGCTTTGGTTGCTACTGAAAATTCCCGTTTTAACATGGTCTGACAGTATGCAAAATATTTGTATTGTTCCCACCTTTCCCTTCAGATATTTCCCCAGACGTTTGTGAGATGTTTGTAAATATACAATGGGCTGGGTTGTGAATTTGAAAACTTGGTAATTATTGTTTATGCGCTTCTGGTGTCTGGCAAGGGTATTATGTAAAAAAAAAAATCAGCTTACGTTCTTTTCTCCAAAGTTTCTCTTTGCATTACTTCATGTCATCTCTCCCAGAAGGGCAGATGGGTGAGTCCTGGGTTTTATATCAAACTGGAAATGTCCAAAGCATGTCCAACTTGTGGCTCTCTTACCTGCAAAGAACAGCTTTGGGATTGATGGAGATTGTGTGTGTGTGTGTGTGTGTGTGTGTGTGTGTGTGTGTGTGTGTGTGTTTGGCTATGCATCTTAGTGCTCAGATGCTCATTATCAACAGGCAGATAGAGACTGCTAGATCAATAGTGACACAGGCACAGATAACCCCTTGTTTTCTCAGATAAGCTTCTGGCACTTCAACAGAAGCTGGCCTGCGGGGAAAGTTTCATCTTTCCTTTTTTTCTAGCCCTGACGCGATGGCAGGATCCAGTGGGTTCTCCCCACCATTCATAAAGACTGGTCTCTGTAGCCCGCAGACGTCTGGGACCATTTATCCAGATGAGCAGAACCATTGTCCAATGGAGTCCAAACAATTCATCACCTATTAAAGCTTGACACGTCTACCCTACTTCCCAGGAAGATAGACTACCTCTTTGTGTGTGTGTGTGCGTGTGCGTGCATGCGTGCATGCGCGCGCTCGCATGCGTGTGCGTGCATAACGCATGTGACAGTATTGATGCTTGAACTCAGGGCCTCATACTCCTGCTTGGCTCAAGGCTGGTGCTCTACCACTTGAGCCACAGCTCTACTTCTGGAGTTTTGGTGGTTTATTGGAGATGAGTCTCCTGGACTTTCCTGCTTGGGCTGGCTTGGAATGAATCACAATCCTCAGATCTCAGCCTCCTGAGATCCTGAGATTAGGCTTGAACCACCTGTGCCTGCTCCACTGAAGCTAGGTTTTGAGAGGGAGTATATATCACCTCTTTGCAAGCTTTTCTCCCACCTGGACATGTGCCCATTCTTGGACCACGAGTAAGGATTCTACCTTCCCTGGCTCACATGCTCCCCATAGACCTCAAGTTAGAACGCTCCATGCGATCTGACTTGCATTTTGGACCTGTAGGCAGCTGGGATGTGAGCTCCTCCTTGCTTACTCTTCAGGAAGAGTCTTCTCTTAGCAGATTGTGCTAAGATCATGGAGGTCCTGTGCATTCAGGATTCAGAGGAAGCTCTCCTGACCCCAGAACATGTTCGGTGTCCTTGAGCAACTGTCTGCAAACCTCAAATAGCTGAGAGGAAAAACAGCAAACAGCAATGCAAGTGTGGGCTACCTCATCAAGTTTATTAGCTTAACAAGAGGTAAATTGGTTAGGTGTAAGGTTAGGTCAAAGCACAGTGTGTGGGTTTGAACTTGTGTAGGTCTAAAAGCTGTTGGTCTTGAGGCCCTATGGCTGTTATTCAGGACCTGGGGCTGAGGGGATAGGGACCAGTGTCTGCAGCCTCCTCCATCCTGCTGTCCTTACTGGCTGCAGGACAGACTCAAGAGCTGGACTGGGCTAGAGCTGGACCTTGCTCAGCAGTGCTGAGCTGCTATTCCCCAGCCCTGCCGCCCTGTGTTGTACTGGAACCAGCATGCCAGTCACCACCACTGCCATCGCCAGTACAAGTGGCGTTGTGGAGGGCTCACTGGTGCCTTCTAACCTGGTGAAGAGAGTGTGTTGATATGTCGAAGAAAAACAGGAGCACAATGGCAGTAAGGAGCCACCCAGGTTACCGAGCTAATGAGGACATCTCTGAGATCTAGATCTCGATGATGGAGCCGCGAAGTCTGGGTCCTTAACTCTCCTCTCTGGAGGAACCATGGTGGGCATTGGGCAGCTAAGAGCTTTCTGTGTGCCCAGGACATCCTGTGTGCATTTTCTTAGGAGCTTCATCTCTCTAGAGGTTGATCCCTTTTGCTACCCCACTTTACAAGTGTAGAAGGTTCTGGAAGGTAGCAGGATTGAAGATGCTTGCTCAGCTAGCCAACAGTCAGTCCATCTTGTGTCCCAAAGCCATTGCCCATGAACAAGGGGTTCCATACCAGGCTTCTAGCCTGGTTTGAAAGTGACCACATCCTGTAGCCATGGCCATTGGTGACTGTTAGCTCCGCAGAAGGATGTACACGAGGCCTGGAGGAGGCCATGGGGACAGGCATCACTCTGGGTCTTAGGTGGAGAGATGGTGGTGGTGGTTTAGACTTCCTAGGAGATAGGATTTGGGTTTGACACAGAATTTGAAGGCAGGCCTTGGTGAGGAAATTGCTGCTTGGAATAAAGATTGCAGCTGGGTGCTGTGGTGCAGGCCTGTAATCCTAACTGTTTAGGAGGCAGAGATTGAAGGATTACCATTTGAGGCCAGTCTGGGGTGTGGGGGGAGGAGTTGTGAGACTCCATCTCAGCCAGTGGATGGTCACAGTGTCATGCACCTGACAGCTCAGTGACACAGGGAAACACAAGTCCAAGGGTTGTGGTCCAGACTGCCTCCAGGCTATAAAATAGGACACTTTTTGCTAAAACAAACCAGTGCAAACAGGGAGGCTGGCAGGGAGGTTCAGATGGTAGAGTGCCTGCCTAGAAAGCACGAGGCTCTGATTTCCAGCCACAGTACTGCCAATGTAAGAAAGAAAACTCAGTTGTGAAGAAGTAGTGGTGGGTCCTTTCTCCCAATGCCGTATTCCTTACCCTGTGCTCATCAGTTTTCTTAGAAAGCCTTATGTTCCCAGCTCTGCAGAGGAAGAAGAGGCTCTGAAATGCTGGTCTTGGGCAAAGGTGCCTGCTTGTTCCACTTTTCAGTCTTGAGTTCCCTGGGCTCCCCTGTCCCTAGAGTCCCTCTCTCCTCATAATGGCTCCTGATAGCTCCCTGTCTGCAGTGTCTCTAGAGAGACCGATAGTGTGCTGGGGCAGGGCCGAGAAGGGAGGCCTGTGGCCCCTAGACAGTGCCTGCTTCAGAGCAGGCACGCGATGGGCCATTGCCGGCTGTTTTCTGCTTTGGTAATCACTGGTTTTGAAATGTTTCCCTTCTAATGCTTCTCTTAGCCTCCATCCAGTTGGCAGATCTTTATTTCTAGCTTGGAGGTGCTTACTTACACCTGTGGTTGTGCTCTGTCCCCTTCACTAACAAACTCCGGCGGTAATTCCAGCAAGACATGGGGAAGTTTGGCGCTTTATTGGTCCAGGTGGTTTGCTTGCGGGCGCTGGAGGTTGGCAGATGTGTGAAGTACTGCTGGTAACTAGCAGATGTGTCATTACTGCCCGTAGGGTCTAGCCTGTGACTCTAGGCTGAGTGGGTCATGGTAGGTGAAACAAAGCGCTTGGCATTACTGAGAAGGATAAATAGTGAGCCCTGGAAGGGTCCTACGGAGAAAAGGCTGGGGCGGGGGAGGGGGCGGGGGCCAGCTCACCGTGATGGTCTCAGGTTGGAGGTTGGAGGTTGGGCTTGGGAATA